CGAATACTCACTACTCACGGGTATGTTACTATTTGGATACAATTATGCTCCATATAAACAAATGTCTTTGTCATTTCTAATGCTTCCACAAATTCACAATAATCAAAAGATAAAGCATGAATCAAACAAATTAAACAAAGTTATCAGTCATCCTAACATATAGTAAACAATAGAGGTTTCACACAACTTGTGGCTTTTGGTCCTAAGTGAAACAAGCATTCAAACAAGTTGCAACATGAAACAAGAATACACATTTGCACAAAGCACAAAATTCTTAAGTCATTCTAACATTCTATAAAGCGGTTCAATTTACCTTGCTTGCATTCACATGCTCAACATTCTAACATCACCATCCAAACATGGAAGAATCTTCATTGGATACTTTTATATAAATAACAACCAATCTATAAGAAATTCTCATCATTTCTAATCAACACTAGAGAAACGTAAAAAGGAAATAAGAATATATACAATATAAACAATTGTACAAAACTCAAAAATATAGAAACAACTGCAGTGCACTTCAATATCTAAACACCAACCCTCGACAGCGGTGTCATTTTATTCTAATCGTAGTAAAGCAGAAAGAAACAAAAATTTAGATTGGGAAGGATTCCCTCCGAAATTTATATCGTCTCCACAGGGATCGGTGCAAGGGAAAGAACATCGTTCAACAGTCTCTATATTTCTAAACTTGTTGTGCAAAAGTTTTGGATAAAAAGTTCAAGAAACCATAAATAAAGCAGAAATTATAAAGACAAAAAATATAAAATAAATACTGAAATATAAACGGAGCCTTGTTGGGATTGGATCTCATCAATTGATAACACATGCATTCTTCTATTCATGTTATACACAACTCAAACTATCGTCTAATATCATCATGTATCACCCACAACAGAGGTTATGTCTAACGGAAAGTCGAGAGAACAATCATATTGTCTCATAGGTGATATCTCACGCAACAGTACCAATACAGAGCATTAAGAACTGATACTCATATGAATGTTAAACCTAAATCTATGTCCCGAGTTTAGACCTAACAAATATTACTATAACATCCATATCAAATTAATGATTTGATTCATATATAACGTCATGATCATAATACGTACACATGATTAACCCTTTTTACATGCATTCACCTAATCTGCCAAATGTATGTGAACATCGTTCTTCATCACTATTATCACGCATTTTCGCAATACCGTTTTTCAAGCGTTATCACGGTCTTTACCATATTGATCCTACTCATGCCACTTAATCAACACAATAAAATATATGTGATACTAGTGAATATAAACTCACAAGACTATGTCAAAATTTTGCTCATTGATAGACGAGGATCTTAGATCAAATATTTGAAAAAGGTTTTGTCAAGACCCACAAATAAGATATCAAAGACAACATCAATATAGAATCAAAACTAGTTCACTATAAATAAATTAGATAAAATACATAAGGTATCAAAAGATTACATCCAAACCCCAACAAGAGATCAAAGATATTGCCTTCTCTCTCTTAGGGTTTGTATTTCTCTCTCTAAAATATACTTGAAATGAAGAGAAATAAAGTTCTGATCCCAAAAAGTACAAGTTATCTCTAGAAAAGAAAGAAAAGTACTTAATAGTATTTACAAAATCTATCATGTTTGCACTGCGAACCCTTTCTTCTCCCAGTGAACACACTTTTAGGCACCTTGAGAAATATCTGAAGTTCGCTGTGTGAGCAATTCTTCGCACTACAAACTACCTCGCTACAAGTTCTCACAACGAACTTAGGATCCTTTAGCTACTGACTTCAGTCTGGATCGGTTCATGGGTCCTTCGTTGCAACTTCGCACATTAAACATTCACTGGCTGCTCGCTACTGTTCGCCCAACAAACATTGCATAATCTTCACATTTTCTTTGGCTCCCTTGTCCAATCCTTTGTGTCTTACTCATTGATGTTTTATGCCTATATCCTACACAATAACACACACATCAAAGAATCCAAAGTTATTTGCAATATAATCGAAAAATCACACAAGAATAAGAAGTAAGTTTATTAAAAACATGAGAAATGAGTTGAAAAATGCCATGAAAGATAGTTCATTTCAAGTAAAAATTTACACTTAAAAAGTATAACATATGCCCTTATTTAAGTTTCTTTTATCCGAAGATGTGAAGATTAGAAATCTCTGTATCGACGAGATTGAAGATACTTAAATACATAAGACCTGATTTTTTAACCCTAAGATGCCACACAATGCTTATGATAGGAATGAAAAAGATGCAAACTTTGTAGGGAAGATACTACGGGTGACACATTCCACGTAGACAAATCACAAATCTGATATTGTTGGAGAAAAACTTGAAAGGGTCTTGACAGGGAGATATAACTTTCTGGGGAGAGACTAACATCACAATGGCCTATACCGGGAAACAAATATAAGTATATCCAAAAGTGAGAGAATTAGCAAGCAACAATGGATGACTCCACTGGGGAACACGAAACAGGAAAAACACTGAGCTTACTGGGAAATAACACTGAGTAGTTAATTAGAGAAAGGAAATATTACTAACTCATAGTTTAAGGTAGCAAATAGGACAATATCGATTCATACACAATGATAGAGAAACATGTATTACTGACCCATGGACGAAGGTATACTACCAAATCATAATTAAAGGCAGTGATAGGATTTGAATTGATAATAAGTGTTCCGGATTGGCCCAATAGCTAGACATGACCCAATCGACTTCTGCTCCCAGAATGAACCAATAGTCTGAGCTCTGCTAATTAAGGGCAAAGGAAAGCATTTTCTACTCTTTCCCTCAGCCGAGGAGAGTTGGCCAGCTGACCTTCAGGATCAGCTGCCCTTCGTCACATCTCTATCCGTCATGCACGAACCAACCATCTAGGAACAACCACTACACCCTTACCCGCAACCATGCCCATGCTCAAAGCAACGACTAGTTATGAGTATGTCTGCACGTCTTAACGTCTAGTTTCTAGCAGTTACCTATTTTTGGGGAGCGAATATCTCGGCCCGAAAATAGGGACCAATGGCTAAGCATTGCGGGTATTATAAAAAACCTTTCCTTTGAGATGATCAGGTATTCAAAATCATCTTAAAACACTCTTACTTTGTACTTGTCTTTTCATCCATCGATTCTTAGTTTAGCATCAGAGTGCCTTGTAGGTACACCTCCTCCTCCTTGGATTCCAATATCATAGACGAAGTCTGTGGTCCACTTCAGATCCTAATCAACCGAAAATATCAATAAGCTACCCATAACTTCTGGTCTTCCACCTAGAACGGGGATATGCTCCTTCTTGAACTAAGTCTTCCACTTGGGAAAGGTAATAAACCTCTCGTGACTTTTGGTCTTCAGCCTGGAACGAGTCTCAGTTTCTTATTTAACCAAGTATTCCACTTGGAAAGGTTAATAAACTTCCCATGACTTCCAGTCTTCAACCTGGAATAGGCCGCAACTTCTTCTTTAACTAAGTATTCCACCTAGAAAAGGGTAATAAACCTCTCATGACTCTCGGTCTTCAACCTGGAACGGGCCGCAGTTTCTTCTTGAACCAAGTCTTCCACCTGAAAGGGTACCAAACAAGCTTTTCTCCGACTTCTGGTCCTCAACCCAAAGCGGTCTTCACTTGCTGAAAATTGATATTTTGACTTTGATTGTGGATCACAACAGGCTTCTTAAATAAAGAGACAACCGCCTATTAGAACGGACCGGTGTTGATTTGATTTGTTGAATCACAATAAGCTTCTGTGTCGGGAATGACTATAGAGATTGCCACTTATTGTTGAAGGAGGAATTGATATTGTTGGGAATGAACAAGCTTATCAAATAAAGAAACTCCCACTTGTTATTGAATCATCTCAAAGATTATCAAAGCAGTAACTTTCGAATCAAATTGAATTACTCATCCACTAAATGAGTCTTCTCTGCTGAGGAAAACATGATCCAAAAGGTGTGAGACGCTCCTTCTTTGTCATCTATGAGAAGCCAAAATTGTTGCAGGGGACCTAATTTCAATCCAGGAATGAGCTGGAGAGAAACGATCAAACATGACTCTACCCGTTAAGGAACGAACTCAACTGAGGATTTGTTCCGTCTAGGCAAATGAGCTGGGAAGGAAAGTTGAAACAGTTCTTCCACTAGGCATAATCTCAGTGGGGAAACCAAACGATTAACTCTCTCCGAGGAAAATACCAATAAGAAAGTGAATTTGGAAATACCAAGGTGTCATGAATGAGCATGAATCTGTGTTCGGCTACACATAAATGCTTTATGAATGCTTGAATGCATGCAATGTTATACTTATGCTAGCAAAACAACACATTGATCAAATTGGGAAACCAAAATCAACGAACTGGATACTCTGCCAAATCTCAACTAGATGGAGACTCTGCTACAAAGCATGTCTTTTGTCCCAACTTCTAGAATGCAAGATCCTCCGTTGAGGATAAAAGATCCGTTGGGAAAACTTGAAACAGAAATGTTCATAAATCGAAAAATCTCTGAGGACATAAAAATTTGCTGGTTTCACCATGAGAGAAAATCAATATCAACATTGCAATACCGGAAATGATTGGAAGGAATCTGCTATTTGTCAACAACTCTGTTGGAGAAAATATGATTATCATGATGTGCATTTCAGTACCGAAAAATCTGAACTCCACACTCTGAGACTTCACCAATCTTGAACAACAACTATCATTCCTTTTGTTCATTCCGAAGCTATACAAAATTTTAAGATGTAGGAGTGGAGGATAGATATATGGAGTATAGGATCAAAAATTTTATTTCATGTCCAAAATCTGCCCTGGCCCAGCCCAACGACATACTGTGATAACCCGACAGGTGTTAGCAAAATAACTTTTCTCAGCATTTGTCATTACAATCACTTTCTTCTCTCTTCGCATCACAGCCACTAATTTCCCCCCTTCTCACTGTCTTTCCAAACCCTAACCCTAATTCTGATTCCATCACCACCATGGCCAAAAAACGAAAGCTTCGATCTTCCGACCCCGAACCCACCAAGCCACTCGAAGCCGAACCAAAACCTGAAGTAGCCGAAGCACAACCCGAACCAACTACAGACCAAGAACCAAGCCATGAAAACATGGCCGTCGATGAAGAAATCGCACCGGTACAAGAAAATCAACCTCAAAACGAAGAACAAGAAGGTGAAGGAGAAGGAGAAGAACAAGAACAAGTAGCAGAAGAAGAAGAAGACGAAGAGCAACAAGGAGAAGACGAAACCCTAGAAAACCAAATCCAACAACAAGACGCCGCGGAAGTTTCAAATCCAACAGCCGTTGAGCAGGCTGAGACGGTGGAAGCTAACGGTGCTGGGGAAACTAACAACGATGAAGAGGAAGATCTTGATTTGGAAGATGAACCTGTTGAGAAGCTTCTAGAGCCTTTCACGAAGGAGCAATTACACGCTCTTGTGAAGCAAGCTATTGAGAAGTATCCAGATCTGTCGGAGAACGTTCGTCAGCTGGCTGATGTGGACCCCGCTCACAGGAAAATTTTCGTCCATGGGCTTGGATGGGATGCAACTGCGGAAACCCTAACCAGTGTGTTTCAGAAGTACGGTGAAATTGAAGACTGTAAGGCGGTTACTGATAAGGCATCTGGAAAATCAAAGGGGTATGCTTTTATTTTGTTTAAGCATAGGAGTGGTTGTCGCAGAGCGTTGAAGCAGCCTCAGAAGCAGATTGGTAACAGAACAACATCTTGTCAGTTGGCCTCTGCTGGTCCTGTTCCGGCACCTCCACCGAATGGCCCTCCGGTCTCGGAGTATACACAAAGGAAGATTTTTGTAAGCAATGTGAGTTCTGATATTGATCCTCAGAAATTGCTTGAGTTTTTCAGACAGTTTGGGGAAGTTGAAGATGGTCCTTTGGGTCTTGATAAGAATACTGGAAGGCCAAAGGGATTTGCTCTGTTTGTGTACAAGTCTGTTGAGAGTTCTAAGAAGGCTTTGGAAGAGCCAAATAAGACTTTTGAGGGTCACACTTTGTATTGTCAGAAGGCTGTTGATGGTCCTAAGGGATACAAGGGTCATTATCAGCAGCCTCAACATCACCATCATCAACAGCATCATTCCCACCATCATCATCACCAGCCTCACTACAATTCGAGGAAAGAGAAGAACAAGTATTCCTCTGGTGGTGGGCCATCACACGGTGGTCACTTGATGGCACCTCCTGGGCCTGTTGGGGGTTACAATCCTGGAGTCCCTGCTCAAGGATTGAATCCAGCTCTTGGTCAGGCTTTATCAGCTTTGCTTGCTAATCAAGGAGCTGGGTTGGGTCTTGGAAATTTGCTTGGAGGTCTTGGTGGTGCACCTGTGAACCAAGCTGGGCCACCTCCTGCTCCGTATGGTAACCAGGCTGCTATGGGATATGGAAACCAGCCAGGCTTGCAACCACAGTACCAGAATCCTCAGCTGGGGCAAAGTGGTGGTGCTAGACCTCATCCTGGTCCGGGTGGTGCTCCTTACATGGGTCACTAGGTGAGTTGCTGGTATTTTTCTCTTCGTTTAATTGCTTCTGATTTTCTGTTTGTTCTAATTCAGGTAATTTATAATAGAATTGTGTGGGAGAGTTGGGTGCTGTTGCATTAGATTGTTGAACTTCAAAGTAGTTGGTTTTAGGTGTTTATCTAACTGACATGTATTGAAAATCTTAAATTGTCAAAATTTGCCCAGTTGCATTTCATGAATATTTGAAGAAACCCTGCACCAACTTACAGCGATGTCCTTTGCTGGGATCTGTTGCACCATTGTTCAGTTTATGCTTGATATGCTATTTTTATGACTTTTCATGGCTGTAGTTGTTCTTTATATTAACACTACATCCACACACTTATTAAAATGTCATTAAAGAATGAACTTAAGCTATACAACAGTTAACTATTTTTCTTTTTGGTTATATTCACACTGAGTTTATGCATCTATTCAATTTCTTGGAGTGCTTTCTTAGGTGCATACAACCCTTTTACCGTCTGTTGCCATGCCTTTGTTTTAATTGCATTCCCCTCTTTTTATTGAATGAAAATGAATGCAATGATTGGCATTGTTGTTTAATTACTGCTCTTGAAAATCTATTTTGCAGCACCAGAGGTGCCTTTGAGATTTGGTATTTGTATTTATGGTTTTTTCCCGAAATAACTTTTTGAAATTAGTCTTTTTATATTTTATGTATTCACTGTGCAGATACCCTCATAGATGCATCAAACATTTAGTTTTGGACTCTGCTGATTCTTCTGAAGTACCAGGCCCTATTCAAATGCATCTTTTAAACTTGTAACTTTTATTAATTACTAAAGAACCAGATTCTGAAACCTGTATTTTCTTTCTATCGTAGAAGATTTTTGCCAAGACTTTTTTTTTAAAATCATGCAGTACCTCTTGTCACTTTATGGAATTTGAGGCATGTGTTGAATTTTGGGGCTGAGAAAACTTTCTTACAATAACTTCTATGCGTGCTGTAGACGTTGCATTTTTTTGGATTTCTAATTATCTCTTATCATTAGTGCTTATCTTCGGAAAGCATGACTGGGAAAAGTGTAAGTTCTGAATTTTACTTTGTCTCTTTCATTTGACTCTGATTTGTGAGGATTAATAGCTTTTCTGGGTTATAAAGATGTTGTCATAGGATTTTTATGATAATTTTTTATATGCTCTAAGTATGCTTATGGTGGAAGATTTATTTACACTTCTCAGCCTTTGTATCATTTGGAGGTTATTTATTCCGTCTTTCTTCTGGACCTTTTACACGAATCTCTTTTCATTTACTAAGAAAAGTTTTTTCTTTTAGTGAACTGTCATGTTTCAGAAAAGATGTTTTAAAAAACCACTATTCTTTCTTCTTCATTTTTTTTATGTTCAAAGCAATTTGTATATAAAAAATGACGTTTTAAAGACCACTGTTCTTTCTTCTTCCTCAATGAAGGCTTGAAGTTGAAGTGTTGTTTAATGACTCTTTATCAAGCTTTTTTTGTAATCACTTTATACACAATGCTTATTTCTTCTTGTTTTGTTTTGACCAGTAGTCTCATTTTCTATCTAACTTTGTATAGCTAGTGATAGGATATCCTAACATGTCCTAAGGATTGATATAGATATTACATACTACAACAATATTTCATTTGCATCCATTGGAGATTGCATCATGCTATTAACTTCCAAAGGTAAAAGTGGCCTCATTCTGGTGTGGGATGCTCTCCATGCATACAAGTGGTTTCAGTTCACAATGGGTATGATCCTTTCTTTTACACTATTGATTGTGTTGGAAAGTTTGGGAACTTCCTTGTTCTGACATGTATTCTCAATTGATTTTTAAAAATATTTTATTACTATTACCAATTTAAGCTTCAAAATTTCACTCTTTTTCATTAAAATTTTTTTTAGCACCTTGATAAACTCAAAGCATGCCAGTGTTTTCTAAAACTGAATAAAATAATACTAGTTTTAACATAAAATCACTTTTAATGCAATGTCAAATTGGTTTTAGCTGTATTTTTGACAGATTTTAAGCTGTACTATTTTTAATAAAGATGTATTTTATTTATTATTAAAGCCGTATTTTAGTCTTCATAAATTGGGGGCGCCAGAATGCATATTTTTCACCATATATAAGGATATTTTTAGTTTGTTGCTTACCTTTTTATGTAAAAATGGAGATTATACTCTAAAGGTGATGATCACACTGCCAGCGCAAGATTCACCTACTATTGAGGAGGCTGGGGGAAAATGCTGAATAAATGCAGTGGATCTGATTTCCTGTGGTGACAGGAAATAAACCTTACTAGTCAAGTTTTTCACATGTGATTAATCTACAACTCTGACATATATGGTGCCGATGAAGATATATATATAATATTTGGAAACAATATAATTTGTCATAAATTTTCCATGAGCTCCATTGAATTCTGATTGTTTGAGTGCTTTGTGTGGGATATGTATGGTTGAGGATACAATCATACCACTTAAAATTGGTTTTATAATTAGTAAACTTGGTCCTAACCTAAATTTTGCGGTGTTTCAAATGAGGTATCTAAAAAGGTAGGGATGGAGTATCTAGAGTAATTTATATGTTTATTGTGCTTAATATGCATAGGCTACAACTAAGACTCATACTACCAAGTTAATTGTTTTCTTACCCTTTTGTTCTTTGTTTGCCAACAACATTTCACTTGCAACAATAAAGCTTTGCAATACAAAAACCCATCCCTATTTTTCTTGGTATTGTTAAAAAATGAATAAAAGAAGTGGGATTTAACTTGGTTATTTCATAACTTCAAACAAGACTTAGGTTTATTTATAGATTGAATTCATTGAGTTCAGTTGAAATTGCACCAATTTAGCTAAGAAGGTTTTTGTATTTTGGTTTCGTTGAATTAGATGAAAACTAGTCTTTGACCTGTGGGATGCACATAATTTTTTTAGTATGTTATATATAATATTTTATTCTTTATTCACATAATAAGATATTATATAATATCTATAATGTAATTATTAAAATAATTGATATTAAAATAGCTTTTAATATATAAAATAAAAATAAATAAATTTTGAAACATAAATAAATATTGAATAACTTTTAAGTTAGAAAATTTTAAATATCATAAATGATCTGACATACATATCGAGAAGATATAAGTAAACAATTAACTATTGAACATTATGAAAGACTTCTTTATATGTGTTTTAATTCTCTTGGAAGAATTATGTCTTCCAGTTCCTTCTGCTATGCTATAATTTTGAGAAAGATTGTGCTTACAAATTTTCGATTGTGGAAGAGTATATTATATGAATCAAGTGATGTGTATTTGTTTGACAACAACCACCTATTTATAATAATAGTTATAGGATGTGAAGAATAATGCATAAGTGTGTGTATTTATTAATTTAGAGGCTCAAGACTAATGATATCAAAATGCATTAGATGTGTATGTTAAAAGTTAATACAATTTTTTAGATTACCAAAGAATGTATAGGTGAGAAGTTAGTGTAACATTTTAATCAAACTATATAGGTGAGAAGTTAATGCAACTTTTCAGATTTTGAAAATTTAATGCATGAATGTATTGGATCCAAGCAAAATGAATATAGCTATTTCTATTTTTTCATCACTTTTATTTGTTTTAATAGTGATTATTATATTAATAATTTATTATGTTTATATTTTTAATAATTTTAAAATGTAGCACAAACGTGCAAGTATTGATATAATTTAATATTTTATTTATGAAGGAAAACTCAAATAAAAGCTAAATACTTTTATTAAATAAGTATAAGGTTTAAAACAAATTATTTTGTTATTATTTTAGTAATAATAATATATAAAGCTAAATAAGTATAAGGTCTAAAATAAATTATTTTATGTTTTTTTTAGTAATAATATTTTAAAGTTAAGTTTAATGTTTAACTAATTAAAAGTATAGACATTATTATAATATTATTTATTATATTAAAATTTTAAATATTTAAATTTTTCTCTTATAAGTAGGGACAAAAAATAAAAAAAAAATTCTCATAGGGAGTAAGTTTTAAATAGGAAAACCCAAATAAAATAGATATTATTTTATCAATTTAGTCATATCAATTAATATTATTTAATCATTTTATCTTTTAACATTTAGAATATTTTTGTGTTCAATATGTGGGGTTGTGCATTTATTAATTGAGAATATTATTTAATTATTTTATTTTTAACATTCAAAATATTTGTGTGTCCAATATGTGTTTTTGTCTGTGTGTTTTTTTACGGGTCCAACCATATTTCTATTTAAACATATAAGTTTATCACAAACATAGTTTTCATATTCGTAAAACAAATCAAAACATTAAAACAAATGTCATATTTGACATTAACTTGGTTCAACAACTGATAAATTAAAAAGAAAATAACTGCAAGACACAACAAATATTCTTGAATAGACAGGCCACTCAATCAGATTTTTCAAGCTTTACACATTTAGAATCTTTGACAACTGATGAAGCACCACCATTGATATCATTCACAACAATTGATTCAGGACTATCAAACAATCCCTTCCCCAATGTCTTGCTTGTAGGTGTATTTCCAGAACCTCCAGTAGTCAATTCCTCTTTGTTTGAATCACCACCTTCAATTGCCTCCTACATATATAATTTAATAACCATAAAAATGATATAGTACACAAATTGTAAAATCATTTGGACGTGATAAAAGAATTAAAAATTAAAAAATAACTTATATACCATAACATTTTTTATAAGAAATAATCAATTAGTAAAAATATATGAACTAAAAATATATAAACTGATTAGCATCAAACAAAAATACTTTTGACACCTTTTGTAGACATCCTTGAACTCAACTAAGTATTTAACTTCAGTATTAATTTTAAACTTGTGATGTAAGAGTATTTGTTTGATAGAAACCACTATTTATAATAATAACTTATGAAAAATAATGGATATGTGGGGTTGTGCATTTATTAATTGAGAGACTCAAGACTAATGAT